GAGTGGTGTAGAGCATGTGGAAGCTGATCAAACGGCTGCGGATTAAAATTTGTAAAAGTTGGGAAAAACGCACAATGCACAAACCTGATATCATGACGTGGGAATACCGAAGGTGTTCAGAGATTCTGGTGGGACGTCCATCGTTTATAGCCCGGCGGCTCGAAAATCAGGAAATTCAGGGATAAAATGGCAATGGAAACCGTGGAATCAGTTATGAAAGTGGAAAAACGGTGAATTCCGGCATGGCGTCGGCGCCCCACTGAAGGGGATCACACCCAGTACCCGAGTGGGAAGACTGAGCGAGTCACACTTCGAACTTGGGTTTTCAGTTACACTCAGTTGCCACGATGGGAAGTAAGGTGAGGGAACGGAAAGGCGCATAAGTCCGCAGAACGGTATGGTTGAACAAAGTTTCGACAGGTGTGCGGCGGCGAGCCTCTGTACAATTCAGCGCGTGAAAAAGTGGAAAGGTTTGTGGGAAATATCATGAACCACCATGGAATCAAACAAGGAGGATTGGTACAGCTTGAGCAAGAGTTAGTTGCAGGTACGTCGATTTGGCATCCCAAATCGATATCACCAGCACACATCCAGTGTCTTCGTTGGTGCAAGACTGGATGGGCTGCTTGCACCCCCTGCCTTGGATAGAAAATCTGGGTGGTGGTGGAAAGGTAAAACAGGTGGAAACCCTTAGAACCAGGGTGTGACACACACACACACACACACGCACGCCATCTTACCACACACACACACCTCCTCCCTCCCCATTCTCATCCTCGTCCATCACATCATCACTTATACTACACGTCTTAGCACAACCGCCTCATATACCTTCTCTCCTCACACTTCGTTCTTGACTTTTCATCTCACTACTCCGTCTCCCGTGTGATGTTCATATACATTTGAAATTTGTAAAACTTATCATGTGGGGTTATCCGGTCCCTTTATTTTTGTCAGCGCCAAATACTTTGTCAAACTCAATGGATTGAGGACCCTGGGAATACAAGGAGCAAGACCAAGGCAAAGCCGAGGACTAGAAGCAGATCACCCTTGCGCAGGAAGTATGACAAGAAGCAGATCAAGCAGGAGGACTCACCAGAGTATAACCCATTTGCAGAGCAACCAACAGATGATGCTGCCTACTTCGCTTCTTTATTGTCAATGGAGGAAGAGCTTGATGCAGCTGAAGAAGGTACAACTACAGCAGTTGGTACAACTACAGCTACAGCAGATGGTACAACTACTACAGAGTCTACTGATGCTGAAGCAGGTGGCCCTCCAGCTGCAGAGGGTGCAGAAACTGCTGAAGCAGCTCCAGCAGTTGGTGGTCCAGGTGCAGCTGAGCCAGCTGTGACAAGCCTGTTGGCTGAGGCACCTTGGAGATCTGATGAGCAACCTCCAATAGCACCTCCAGATGACCGTGTGCCTCTGAGTCGCCTTCGCCCTGCAGAGCCAAGTGGCCCACCACCTGGTAAAGGCAAAGCAAAGAGCTTTGGAAAACAGCAGAACAGGCCATCGCAAGACAGAATGGGGTGGGCAAACAGAAGTGTGAGCTTGATTGCTGCTTGGGAGCGACAAGACTGGAGAGAGATGAATCCCCTCTGTCTTCAGCATCTCTTATTTGATTCAATAAAGTTTTGCAATTGTTCTAGTTTCTTTGGTTCTTTCCTGTGGTTCACTTGTTTCCTTGGAAATCCATTGGGCACTACCCAGGTACAGGAGATTGAGAGTTGGAAGGCACTTGGGAACAATGAATATATATATATATATGTGTGTGCGTTCTCTAGTTTTACAGTGTTGTCGTACCACAAAGCTTTGGGTTTAACGCTTCAGTTTTGTTAATGCTTTGGTTGGTGGTCTCATGTTGTTTCACCAAACCACACTTAATCTCTGCAGGGATCAGAGTTTCACAATGGGCGACCTTGTGGACCAGCGCAATGCACAGCTGCTGCAGCGTGGACATGACCCACAGAGGAACTGGTGACCACAAAGTGGCAGCAGAAGAAAAATGTGCTGCTATGCTCCACTAGCTGTGGCATAAATAGTTTGTTTAAAACAAAGCCTGTTGGCTAGTTTAGCTCAAGCCTGTTGGCTTGCTTTTGCAGGTTCAAGCAGTTTCTTGTTGAAGCCTGTTAGCTATTTTAACTCAAGCCTGTTGGCTTCCTAGTTTCTTGTTGAAGCCTGTTGGCTATTTTAGCTTAAGCCTGTTTGCAATCTCAAACAGTTTCTTGAAGCCTGTTGGCTTTTGGTTCAAAGCAGATTCCATTGAATTCAGCCT